AAACTTTTAAATATTTTTTAAAGTATAGAGTTGACACCTGTTCATATGCTTTAACTTTTGTATTAAATCAAACAATTATCTGGGCAAGTTAATCCTATGCTTTGTACATTTAATACCTTTGACTTTCGGGGCGAGTTCTAAATGATCGGAATTGTACAACGTATGAGGTCTTCAAGTACAAAATTCATTTTCGTAAATTCCTTAAAATAAATCCGTAGTACAAAATACTATAACCACCCTTAATTAATTTATAAAATTGCATTATCAAATGAATGAATAAGAAAAAAAATATTTAATGTTATATATAAATATTCCTGTCTTTTCATGTTTTTAGTATATCTCATATTATTTCATTTCCTTAATCCGTCATGTTTTTTAATATTTTTCTTTGCATGTATTAAAACAGGATAAATCTTATTAAATTTTAAAGCTCATGAAACGTGTTTTAATCCTGATCATTCAATCATGTTTACATTAAAAATTGATTCAATAACATTGTTGAAAATCTTTACCTTACACACCTTTCTATCCATAAGAAAAATAAACTTAGAGTCTAATTATCCTTCCCCGACCCCCTCCCCCTTTTTTTTTGTAGAAGAATGATATGACATGCCACTAATGAGTACGATTTGGCTCTGCTGACAAAAATAACAATTAATTACATGGATGAAAGTATAAATTGAAAAAAGGTTTCTAGTAATTTTTCATGAGCATAAGAAAAACATGGTGAAAACGAATTATTTGAGGCACTGACCATTCATCTATACAGGTTCATGTTTTTTTTTTATTTTTTGATAAAATTGTTTGATTCAGAATTTCTTTAAAAAAATAACCTGTTTAAGATTAGAAGTTAAATTAAACAAAGACTAAATAAAACATTGATTTTCAAACAAAAAATCGTGCATTCCATGTTTGTTCTTGAAAAAACATCTTCTCAAGATACTAGAAACGATGTCCCACGTATGGATGGATTCATAGTCAAAGCTTTACAACATTGCAACATGTATACCTTAATCTGCTATTTTCTAATTGGCACAAATCAATTAAAAGATATAATTTGAAACGCTATAAATGCAAGAAATACGACAACTTAATGAAATCTTACCATGGTTAGGATTGACGGTAAATCCGTTCTCTTATTATTGATAGCTCAAATCTTTATGTATAGTATATAGTAAATATTATAGATCGGTGTCGTCAAAATCGACGGAATTATTAATTGATCGGAAAAGCCTATTGCAAATATTTTTGTTGTTGTAATAAAGTAAATTAAAAGATTCACCTGTTCACGGCTATCGGCTGTATCGTAGAAGAACGAGATTAAGAAGTCGACTTATATAGCCATTTTTGAAATTTAGAAAACATAACTTTTTAAGAAAATCATTACGACCATCTTACACATATTTATATTTTTTAGTCGACCACAAATGATTGGTGTATTCATATTAAAAGAACTTGCAACGTTTTCATCGCAGAATTTGCAATGTATTTTATATCGAAGAATAAGGTTTAATGTGGTCATTATTTTAATTTAAGGTTCCCCAGAACTATGCAATACTAAATTCAAATGAAATAGAAAAGCAATTTTATTACCTTTTGATGAACCATAACCATTTACTAGGTAAAAACGAGTCTTTCTTAGGTTTGGCCTAATCGAATTTAAATAGCCCTTTGTACGAAAGGAAACGTATATAAATACACTAATAACATGATTTGAATCAATATATTGTTCTATACCTGCATGTCTATTGTATTTTTGTTTCATATCCCTTTCTAATTCCTTTCAAGTGTTGTTTTTTATTGTCATCAAAATATGAAACCTACTAACCTAAACATAAAAAAAATCCCTGTGTCTTAAAACTTAAAGAGAAGAAAAGGAAATTCAGCATACACGTTGAATATTGTTGTTAGCTTAACGTCCAGTGGCAAATATTTCATGCATATTTAAGACGTTTAAATGTTCATGAACTTTTTGTAACTGGGAGTTTCTAAAATGACCTTCATCAGATAAGCACGTGAGTAAATGTTCTTTGCCCCTAAAACATTCAACGTTAATGGGTATTTAAAGCATGAAGATCTTAACTGAAATGTTACAATCAAAAAAGTCTTATGTTGTGTGGTAACGTAGGGGGAGAGTTAGCGCGTCCGCAGACATGTTTAACCCCGCCACATCCTGTAAGTGTCTGTCCCAAGTCAGGAGCCTGTAATTCAGTATTTGTCGTTTGTTGCTGTATATCATATTTGTTCTTCGTTTAATGTTTTGTTCATAAATCAGGCCGTTAGTTTTCTCGTTTGAATTGTTTAACATATACCATTTCGAGGCCTTTTATAGCTTATTTTGCGGTATTGGTTTTGCTCACTGTTGAAGGTCGTACGGTGACCTATAGTTGCTGACCTTCTACGTCAATTGGTCTCTGATGGAGAATTGTCTCATTGGCAATAATACAACATCTTCTTATTTTTATATAAATTATGACATGCTTAGGCAATTGCAACTTATATTTTTATTTCAATTAAAAAATTCATAATTTGAAAAAAATAAAAGTCTAACTGTAGACGAGTCTGATGTAGACGAAACGCATATGGCCTACCGAATCATAAACCTCGGTATAATTTTTTTGAGTTGAGTTTTTAAGTAAGAATTCAAAAATTGTTTCTGTAAATTGGCGTAAACGATGAAATATTTTTAAACGATAAAAAGTATTCGACGCTCTATTTTTACAAGAATTCTTATTTTAACGTGCTTTCCTGTTGTATGATATTTATAACATGACATATTGACTTCATACATATAGAATTATAAACAGAAAGAAATGGAGGCTTTGCCAAGCACTTATATCCTGTTTCGAACCGAGTACAAATACAATTTACATTTTGAGACAATGTATTATTTTTCTGTTTATAATGTAACCTTTAAAACTGTTCTGAATGAAATGATTTGGTTGAATCAACATTATTGAGAGTTTGAAGCGAACGACGTAAAATTTCCGAGAAAATGTATATCTGTCATAGATAAAACTCTACAAACATCACATACACGAGACTTCATACGACCAGTTTTTTTTTGTTTATAAAGCAAACGTTTATTCAGTGTATTCATTTTTACTGCGCAAAAAGCACAGATGCAGTATAATTTGACCTTATTCATTGACGTACACTATAGTATATTATCAGGAATGTTTGTTTAAAAATTCTGGGCAAGAATTAAAAAATATTCAGTAAAATGGTCTTAAAATCATCAATTATTTCAAGGTCATAAAATAAAAGTCTAGTACTCTCGCGTATATTCCAGAATAGAGTTATTAGATTTAAGTATATGTGTTAAGTGTTTTGTGCTGTTTGTACAAAACATTCTGTAAAGCACTTGAACATGAACTACGACTTAAAGATCATAAATATAAAAAAATCTTTTTGTTTGCACACTTTAACAGTGAAGTATAACAAAATAAATATTTCATTTCAATTTGGTGATCAATTATTTGTTGAATTCTATTTTTCTGTCATGTCGGCGAAGAAGCACAGCTAGAAAATTGATCGAAGATTGATTGATTGATTGTTGGTTGCTTAACGTCCAGTGGCAAATATTTCATGCATATTCAGGACGAGAACAAGTTAACAATAAATACAATAGGTAGGTTCTGTAATAGGGGCTTCCGGGATTAAGGTAGGAGAAATTTAGACTGCCACGGGAAATGAGGGTATTCATCGAAGATAACCCCTGAAACTGGTAAAGAATATCAAATAAAAAAAATAAGGCATTTTCCAAATTCATCCTGCCTTTCCATTACCAGTAATCCAAAATTTAAACAACGATAAAAGAAAGACGCATAGAATAGTATAGATAATGGATTCTTGATTTAAATCAATTTAGAGAAATGATACGGTTATGGATTATAAAATAAATATTATTCTTTGAGATTTAAATACCAATTTAGTTTTAAATATCAACTAAAATAATGGACTTCGTCATAAAACTTTGATCCAAATTTTGGACTGTGATTGTCTTACATGTTATATTTTGTTCAATCAAATCGTTTGAATTCAGTGTATGTGAAAAAAAGTCAGAAGACAGCAAGGGGTCAATTAAGTCCAATAAAAAAAGACAACACCATGGCAAAAAAGAGAGTTGAAAATGCAAAACCTACACAGAAAACCTTCAGATTGATCAAAAAGTACCCGATCATAAAATCCAGGGGTGCTCCTAAAATTTACTCAGGCCATATTTTAAATTACCAATTACAAATACTATCCTACAAAACGATACTATTAAATGAGGCCTTCATTATTAAAATGCGGCGTCGTGAAAGTCGCTTAATTCCGTTTCACGCGTGCATATATTTATATCCATCAGCAAGCATCTCTCCTGTTTTGTGTCATGTTTTTTAATAAAATATTTTAACAAATACTCTGTGCATGACATGTAAAATACTGAAAAAGTCATCATAAGTTAATATAGGGATTATTTTACAGACGAAGTGTAATAAACAATTCTTTCTTTCAATTGGGCTTTCTATAGGTATAAAAGTATTTTCATGTAAGTCGTTACTGTTAACTTTTCCGTACTAAGTAATAAGTTAAAAAGCGTATATGCAAACAAAATCGAAATATATTTTTTTGAACCCTCGGTTGACGGAATAAGCATAGACATACATGAAGTGGATTTATAACAAAAAAGTTTAGATTCGTAATTTTCTTTTTACACTTTTTATTACTTATTTCTAATTTTATTTTTACATCGATTGATATATCATTTTTTATAATGCATTTCAATGTATGATGCCTATATTTCATAATTTAGTACCAACGTAGTTAGAATATGAACAATTGATTTAAATTTCACGCCATGTCGTATCTTTATATTTGTCTGGTTCTAAATTCACTTCAAGTCACGAATGTGAAATTATTTTGCTGGAATATTTTTAAAAGTTAACAAACATTTTCATTTCATTTACTATTATTTATTTAACGTCTTATCCTTATTTATGCAATTATTCTCTTACCTGTTTCGATTTTGTACTTGTTTTTGTTTTTGTACTCATTGTGTCTTCCTATGTAAACTTTGTGATATCACATGTATAATATTTCACAATAACTATGAACCTGGTCCCTTTATACGTGACTGGTTCCCTGTCGCTAACGACGCTTAAGAGCTTTAAACAATTTATTGACACTTTAATCAATTTTGTACATGTTTTTCACAAATTCAATATGTTTGAACAATTAACAATAATTATAACTATAGTTGAATGGCCATGTTATTAAACCACGTGACGAATACTAATTTCAAAATCTAAACTTCAAAGGAAGTTGTTATTTATTTAATTACTTGTTTTTGTTATTAAATAATGTACATATGTAATCTATACATCTGTGTTTTCTTGAACGCTGCAAACATTTAATAAAATAAATGAACACAATGAGCAATTGTGATTTTGAACAAGTTATGGTGCCATAAAAGTTTGATCCCGGTTAAAAGTACAAAATCCTAAATTCATGTGCAGTTTTTAATTAGAAATTTTTAATTAAACTTTCATTACAGATCATTATCTGAAAGATTTTTTTTTATTTACTTCATGTTTTAAATGGCAGCTTGATGGAAAAACAGATAACGAATTTCTACACTAGAGAAAAAAATTTGTATTTCGTTGGTTCGTGTCTGTCATATTTGTTTTTTCGTAAATTGTTTTGTTATAAATTAGGCCGCTAGCTTTCTCAATTGAATTGTTTCATATTTTTCATGTCGGGGCCTTTTATAGCCGACTGTACGGTTTTTCTCATTGTTGAAGGCCATACGGTGGTCTATAGTTGATTACATCCACTCCATTTGAACTTTGGTGGATAGTTGTCTATTTGACAATCATACCACATCTCCTTATTTTATATAATATCGCAACAATCTTGATCTCGTGTTCGAATGTACATCAGAATATATAACCAAATGTCCATATTCATACGATTGATACGATATTCCAGGGCTTGCATTTCCTATCACGATTTACTTGATAGAGGGTTGCTGCTCACAAGGAAGCTAGTAAACCAGGAGTTCCATGTGGTGAAGTTGAAATTATCTCTTTGTAAAGGAGAAGTTCCGGTAAAGGCTAATTTTGGCCTAAAATTTTAAAAACATCTGATGAAATATTTTTGACATTTTTTAAACACTTAAGTGTCTACTTCAGTCGATTCAGTTATTTTTTTTGTAAAAGATTTGAACTGATTTGATCATTAAAGACGCTCTAATTCAAGTTTAGATATGAAAAATATATCAAATATGCCATAAACGTCACTTTTCAGATGTTTTTTTGTCTAAAATGAAAGTGGCCGCATTCGTGTTCAGTCTCAACCTTTATATATGTTATGTAATATCATCAAGTACAATATATATTTAAATATTACGACTGAACACAAGTGCGGTCACTTCCATTTAAGCTAAAAACTGTCTAAAAATAGCACAAATGTTAAAATTGTGAAGATTTCAGTAATTGTTCGGAAATTAATGATGCTAGTACTTGATGCAATGTGCATTATATTGTCAAAAACAGCCAATATTTATGTAGCAAAAGTTTTTTGCTTTCCAATAAATAGTTAAAAGTTTACATTTTAAAAAATTTGTAAAAATGCTATATTTTGGCGCAAAAAGGCGGTCTTACCGTACCTACTCCTTTCACGGACTTCATCACAAGTTGGTTGACCGTTATGGAATATCTGTTTCACAGATGACGACGGATATGTTCCAATTGTCGTAACCATCATCTCGTACTTTTTCTCCCGAATGTGACATACCGAATTAGATTTATTACCGGATTTGTTCTTACATAAGCAACACGATGGGTGACACGTGTGGAGCAGGATCTGCTTACCCTTCTGCAGCACCTGAGATCACACCCGGTTTATGGCGGGGTTCGTGTTGCTCAGTCTTAGTTTTTCATGTTGTGTTTTGTATATTGTTGTTTGCCGTTTGTCTTTTGGTCCTTTTCTTTTTTCGCTATGGCGTTGTCAGTTTATTTTCGACTTGTGAGTTTGTATGTCCTTTTGGTATCTTTCGCCTGTCTTTGGTTGGTTGTTTAACGCTTTATTTGTTTTAATACTTGGTGCACATTCAGGACAATGGCCATATTTTAGTAACTCATGTGTGATATCATATGCTATCACTTGTAGCCAAGATTACGTGACGTCAATGAGGCAGCAACATGATAAGTCCAGAATAGATTTCTAAAGGTCTCGTGGTAGCATGTTTACCTCGAGTGTGGGAGTCGTGGGTTCGATATCGACCTGGTTAAACCAAAGACTTTAACATTGGTATTTGCTGCTTCTCCACTGGACGTTTAACAGCCATCCATCATCATCAACTTAAGGTACGTATATGTAGCTACTCTTTAGTAACCAACTATCATATTTTATATAAATCTCATGGCGTTTACGATGATACTTAACGACAATACCATGCCTTCACCTAAGTAAATACTACAGAGCACCAAATGTTGAAATATATAAAATTTATATCATTCCAATGGAAGTCACAATTTAATGAACATCTCCTGTGAACATGAACATCTCCTGTGAACATGAACATCTCATGAGAACATGAACATCTCCTCTGAAGACGAACATCAGTGATGTCCATAGTGACATATTTTCAGTAACTTTTAATTTTATTCTCCTTATTTCCCTGTCAAAAAACTTTTTTAAATTCTACCAACCGACATATTGTTTTCTTTTGCCAGTGGACATTGTGCAACCGAAACTAGATGGACACGTTTGATAGACACCTGGGCTGATATGCATAAAACCACTTAAGTTAAGATATTCAATCGTAGCACTAATTTATCGTAGGACATTTCGGAACAAATCTTAACTTAAGTTGTTCTATGCATATCAGCTCTGTATTTCAAGTTTAGTCTCATTATCTTGATGGCTAGCCACAAAGTAAGCAAGACAAAATGAATATTATTTCTGGAATATCTGAAGTGTGTGTTTTAATTTGCTGCTGAAGGATCACGAATTTATTGATTTCATTTGCAGTTGTATAAATAATATCAAACGTTTTCTACATATTCATTTCACCTTCACTTCTATCACGGGCGGCAGATCTAGGATATTTGAAAGGGGGCGTTATTCGAAAGCATAATCTTAAAATGGACTATTAATACAAATAAAAAGTCGTTACTTGTATTTACAACTATGAGAATATTTAAAATAAAAACTAAAATTCGTGAGTATCAGTCTTTTATATTTTTATTTAGATTAACCATCAGGACTGCTCTGTAGTAGCGAAAGTCACTTCTTGATCGAACCTGCAAAAGACAAAAAAAGAACATCATTAACACACATAGTAAATTAAACATTGAGCACTAATGAAATAATTTCTAAATGCTGTATTCCCTACAATTTTATGTAAGTAACGAAAACAAAGTCACGGGAAACGCTTTTACCACAGGATATAACAAGAGATAATGTTGATGATCTTCAATGTGTTTTTAATGTATATATGACTATAACTTTACAAATGGCGTTCTTAAGGACACACGGTACTGGATAGCTGGTATATTAGAAAACTCGGAAAGGATGACTCGTAGTGGTAAAATTTGAAAACCGACAACCCCATTTCCCTTTGATATTCATAACTGATCTCTCACAGAAACAAATTCACACTTTATCTTACGTGGTTAACTTAGGTATGAACAGACAATGAAAATTTTGGAATGATTGCACTTAGCTTCTTCACCCCATAAAGTATAATTTCTAAAGAATTGAAGAAAACATTGTTCCTTTAATTGCAACGGAAAAGAACAGAAATCGACGTCAGTCGAATTAAAAATATGACGATCAACTTATAACTATCTATGCCTGCTCTGTTGATTTTTCTCACACATCTGTATCTTTATTTTTTTAATTTAAACACTTCACTAGCATTCGCAATTGTATACACTTACATATTATCCGACTGTGTTTCCTGTGGCATTTGTGAACTGGAGGAGAAGCAAGAATCCGAATACTGAAAAGAGAAATGTATGCATGATTATTTTCGAGTGTATCAAACACTTAATAACTTCTTTTCGAATTGATCATATCTTATGTAAAAATAGACCAATTAATTTCCAGCCTTAGAAACATATACAAATCGATAGTGTAAAGGAAGGGCATTCTTGATATCGAAACCCGGATCAATAGAGCATAATAACGGTAACGGTTCAAATTTTATTGAACCCGATGCGAATTTTGACAATTAAAGCTCGAGGTCTAAATATATGAAAATCAAAACATAATGCAAACTTTGAAAAGCTGATGAAACCAAAAAGTTCCAGACCCAGACATAACTGGTAATCAAATACTTGTTTCGGTTGTTGTTCTATAATAGACTATTTTCATATTACCGACTTTTGACTCCGGATTATATAATTTGTCGACTGGTTACCTTGGACATCATGGTACTCGGTCAAATAAGAGCAACCAAAATAAGTAAAATCAAACATATAATCGGTGTAATTTGAGGGGAAAGTTTACTGTTTTCCGATGATTTTGTAGTGAAAAAAAAAATTATAAGCAGGTAATTTTACCCCAAAATTGTACCGATTGAAAGCTTGGTTTTACTTCTTTAGCTTGCTCTTACCTGACTTGGTACCATGATATCCAAGGTAACCAGTCGACAAATTATATAATCCGGAGTCAAAAGTCGGTAATATGAAAATAGTCTATTGATTAATAAGGGACAACAAAATGATATTGTGACATGATTCGTGACACAAAATAATCACCGTAAGCACTAAGTCTTGTAAAAAAAAACCCAAATAAATGGTATTTTTATTGGTTTTATTCATCTCGAAGTGCTATTGAAGCTTTCAACATGGAAGAAAAGCTTACTTATAACTTAACTGCAAATTCAAGATTGCCTCAAACACCGGTTTCAACAGAATTCTTTGCTAAATGGATGTGTAGATAACGCTACATATGTGCATTGATAAACACATGGCGTTATATCAACATATTCTTTACTGTCCTATATTTAAAAAATAAATATGCAGAAAAAAATACTTACAGTAGTTTAGAAGTTTTGCATTTTGAAACTGTGCGGTGAGAGCATTTCCGGTGTTGTATAATCCGGTCTGTTGCTGGTATGCACCCAGTTGGTTTGCGTAGTAATATGGGTAGGCACCTGTCATCTGGTATCCTGGGTGCATCTGGGATTTAACCACCACAAAGGCGACGAGACAGGGAATGAGTACCAACAAAATTGACTTGTTCATCTTGATTTTTTTTGTACTCAACCTGTATAATACATAAATGGCATTTATTTATTAACTAATTAATTAATTAATTAATTAATTTATTTATTTATTTATTTATTTATTTATTTATTTATTTATTTATTTATTTATTTATTTATTTATTTATTTATTTATTTATTTATTTATTTATTTATTTATTTATTCTTTCATTCGTTCATTTATTCATTCATTCATCTATTCGCTCATACATTTATTCGCTCATTCATTTATTCGTTTATTTATTTACATTATGAATATCAATAAAAATTAACACATTCACATACCTAAAAATATATATCAACATTTCATGTAGCTCTATAATTGCTATAACTCTATTTTTCTTATCATATTCATTAAAAAAAATAAGCTATATAAAAAAAACTCATATGGGATAAAAAAAAATAATAGTTATCTTATATTAGATATCTTTTGTATTATAATTAGTTTAACTTTAACACTGAATATAATGATAAATTGCTATGACCGCTGTAGTTCAAGTAATTATTTGAATGTTCACTAAAAATATTCTTGACCTCTTTCAAACCTTTTAGAAATAGATCGACTTACCTACTAAGTTAGCAGAACAGTGATACATCCTTTTCATCGTTTTACTTTTATACCTTGCCCCTCTCGTATTGGCCACCGCCGAGCGTGAATTTCTACACATTCTTACATAGTTTACTTCCTTATTTTACATTACAGCATATCCTTTTCATACATGTACATGTCTGTATAACCTTGTTTACATGTAATGGACATGTATATTGGTTTATATTATGTCATATGTAAACACGTTCTATAATTTTGAATTCAACAGAGATGTACTATTGATTAAGAACCTACACTTCTAGCTACAACTGCATGTTTGGCACAGAAACTTCAATGAACATTGAAGTGGACAGGAGCATTTATTAATTTTGTTTATTCAAAAGGTCAAAATCGGTCTGTTGACGAAATTTCATTTAAAAAGATTTTAATAAAAAAAACTCTTAAAAATCAAACAATTTTACATATATTCATATATGAACGTTAAAATGTTATTTAGTGGTAGTACGGAAATTAGGAAATGAGGTATGATTGCCAATGATATAACTATTATTTCTTCCAGAGACCAAAGGCCGATAATATAAATAAGTATAGATCACCGTAAGGCCTTCAACAATGAGCAAAACCTATATCACAATTTAAGCTATAAAAGGCTCCGACATTTCAAAATGTGAAACAATTTAATCGAGAAAACCAATGAACTGGTTTGTGCAAAAAATAACAAACGAAGAAACAAATATGCAGACAGCAACATACGACAACCACTGAATTACAGGTTTAATAATTGCAAAACTTATAAAGTTGTTATAAAATGCTGCTCCGTGGGTCATCTGGAACCACAATTGATCCATATTTATCTGAAAGATAATACATGTAACTATTTTACTTGGAATTTGACTTCTAATGAAATTTTGGTTTCAGTAAAACGTTGGATATACTAGTAATACCGATGGGTATAATTTTGTTAAAAACTTAACTCATACAAGTAAAACTGTAAATATTTGTATATATTGAAAGACGTTTTGAAAATGACCAAGTTGTCAAAAAAACTCATATTAAGAATATTGGGCTTATCTCTTTGTATTCTTCCTTTGACTAATTCAATTAAATGCAACGGTTTCTCTATTACCTTTACAGTGTTTTAATTATTTTTGAAAGAGTTTATCTGTTACACTGAACAGGCTTTAATGTGGTATACACCATATTTATGACCATTCTCAATTTTGATTTTTCATTGTTCCACTACTTAAACAACATATGTTTTTTTTTTTTTTTTTTTTTTTTTTTTTTTTGTATTAACCTGTGAAATATTGACTCGTTAATGATAAACAGCAACCAAGCTGTGTGAAAATGTTTGGGTTTTTTTTGTGGATCGCATCAATCATCGTCAACGGCTCACCCTTGTTTCACTTTCAATGTTGACATTAAATGCGTAACCCATCTCTATCTAAGGGGTTAAATTGAAGGCCACATGACAACGGATTCAATGCGGTTAAATTATTAACTTTACTTATTTTGACAAATTTAGGCCAGACTGACTGCTTATAACGAAAATTATTTCCAAATTCAGCGTTTATTAATACTTGAACACAAAGAATCTTTTTTTTTAATTTTTTGTATCAATCGTAGCTAATGGCCCTTTAAAAATATATCATCCCATAGTGTATTTCAAAATCATTCAGGGGGACCCTCCTATATTCAAAGTTACCCGAATATTTCGGATCCAAATGTATTGCAATTCTATCGGATGTTTTTAACAATTTGTTAGGAGTTAAGGATTTAACCAAGGCGAACCATCATCTCCCTTATTATTCATCTGTTTACTGCTTGAAATACATTTACATTAAAAAAGATCAAAAGTATATTCTTTGCGGTTACATAGTTAATAGTCCTTAGATGTCAATAGATAATATGTAAATGTTAAGTAATCATAAAGAACGCTTGATTTTTAAGGTCCCTTTGGTCATATAGCTCTTCAACTATTTCAGTTCTTATAATCCTTGGCTTTCAAATATTCGGCTTCGGACGCATAAAAGAAGTAGGTTCGATAAGGCGCAAAATAGCCATTATTTCTACCTATAATTTCAAAAATCGGAGTAGGGGCAAAAAGGCCCTTATTTAGCCCAAATATTACTGCAAATTTAAAAGTTATCATACATATTCTTAAATGTGTCCTAACTAGACTAAGGTACGAGGTATTCAGAAAATTAAAACAAATTTTACTTTTAACAAGTTACCATGGCAACAAACCATGACGAAATTTGTATATTTTGTAAAAAAAAAAATGATTTTTCTTGTTTTTCGTCAAATTTTAAGTATATTTAAGATTGGCAAAGTATGTGCGCATCCAAAATCAACTTTATATTTGGTAAAGCTTCTCTTAAATCATTTTGTTGTTTCTTGGCTGTGCACCATGTTTCCACAATGGAAATAACGATTGAAAACTGCATAAATTCATCATTTTCATGAAAACGGTATATAATTATGATGTAATTGTGTCGTCATCAGATAAAACATCTTATGTTTTTAATTTATATTTCTTGACTCTATGCATTTCCAAACATTATGTGTCAATTTGGAATAGTTGTCAAGCATTTTATTTTCTTGGGCCAAAACCGGGCCTTAATGCCCCTACTCCTTTTAAAAAAATCTCTATTTTTGCCCTCTTTGGGATGTATAAATTAACGTGAGGCAGATTTTAAAACGTTTGATATGATATATTAATTTTTGACAGATCGGCACCGTATATTTTATATATCTGCGTGACAAAATGTAATTATATAGATTATATTTCATTTCATGCCATTACATGAATAGTTATACGTATATTTCGTACATATCAATTTCATCCACAGCTATTAGGAAGTTCTAGCTTTTACTGAGTCCAAGCTGTCCACATTTTATGGAAAAGAGGTAAGTCGGACTAATTAGTAAATAACAAATGAACTAAATTATCAATTGACAGAACAAAAACAAAAATAATGCTTTATTCCAGACTCCAAATTGGCAGTAATTTCCTCAGGATATTACGACTGATGATGGACTGTAAGTCCACGAGTGTATCATCAGTATTTATGTACTGACATGATTTATAGCAAATTTTCCCAAAATCCCCTGTTGATAAATAAAGAAATTACCAATAAACTAAGGTTCCGACTCCCTCAGGAAAAGCTGACTTTAGAGCTAAATTTGACTTTTCTTTAAGGTCCCATTTGGTCATATAGATTTTTTTCATGTTTCTACGCATTTATAAATCCCTATCTTTTAGATTTTTAGTTTTGAGCGTTCCTGATGAAGGTAAATCTATACGGTGAAAGCGCTTCGGATGTACGCAAGAGTTATTTTCATTATATACTTAGGTAACAGAAGATCAAAATAGACTATCGATTAATGTCGATAAAATCCAGTTTGTACATGTTATGCGCTCGGAAATCGATTCATTTGGTTAATTTTAAAACTTCTTACATTAGGATTGAAACCAAAGCCAATGGACTTTGCGCACCCGAGGATCCAATCATCCATGCGAAACTGTTATCCATGCATGATAGTTTTTATTCAATAATTTAAAGCTAGTTGACGCTTATTCAAGTTTCTTGCGAAAGATGAAATCATAACCATCGTTAAGGTGAATTTCCTATATTCCTCACTTATAAGTCAACAGACCAGCATGCAACATTCTTTTAGTAAACTGTTGACAGGTCTATACCTTATTACGAAATAAACCAAATACGAACCAAAATAAATTATATTTTGTTATCTAAAATGAAAACTTGTATTATGAAAGTTCAGTAATCTGCTATTATCATCCGATTTTACATAATGACTTATAGTGTGTGAACCTCGTTCTCAGAAAATTTGTATTTCGTGAAAATTTCTGTACTAACAAGAAATGTAACTTAACACTTCTACTGTACGTCAAGTCGTAAATATTCATCCACTTTAAAGGCACAAATATTTCTGCAATAGTTTTCAAACCCGATCTTTTATTCTCAAGAACTTATTTGGTAATGACAAAGTACAATCGCAGATGACGTCAGCTCATGGAATCATCATAGTATTTCGAAATTCTAAAGGTTTGTGAATCTCTGCTAAATATACATATAATTCAAACTTAAATACAAAATAAATGTTTCTTTTCGTGCATAAAAAATCTTTCCGAGGTAAGATAGACACAAAATAACTATGTTTTGCTGGAAGAAGTTGAGCATGTTTTAGGAGTTGCCCCCCCCCCCCCCCCAACCCATCCCCCCCCCATTTTCTCTCTTTCCCGCAACCACATGCACCGAACAAGAGTAAGAGCGCTGTGTTTATATCACTCTACACTGGACAGTCGGTGGACTGTTTAAATTCTTAGCGTGTCGATATAGCTAGTATAAAGTAGGATACATTCATTTTACCATAAACTGTATATATATTTGCATTTAATACTTGCCGCTGACGTTAAGCCCATACCTATCAAGAGCTTTGAGCATTTTTATCAATATGTGTCAACAGCAGTTTTAATTCTAACCAATACTATAAGAACATCTTCATTTGTCGTTGATTGTTACCGATTACATGAAATCATATAATATTTTGTTGTTATGATTTAATAAATTGTTTTCATTGTCTTTTGGAGAGGCATTGGTGTTAATCACGTTCAGGACCAAATGAGTCTGAAATTTGGGACAGTTCAATAATAGATAACTCCTACACGGACCTTTAGTCCCAACTAACCCTTCTTATTTTCTGCATAAAACAAAGTCCAATAATTTGTTATGCTTCAATTCTCTTTCAGAATTATAGCAATGCACCTATCCATTACTTACATGATTGTTTCCCTCTCTCTTGTGACATCAAAAGATTCTTGTCCAAGGAACAACGAACTAATTAATTGTATTCAACATCAACTTAGACCACTAGAAGACAATGGTGTAAAATGTAACTGTAACAAAGAAGGTATTTATATTACATGTACTTAATGTAAATAAAATCGGATGCGTGGCACTGGGTATACGTCAATGTGACAACAACCCAACGACAGAAATAACCAAACAACATTAAGAGTCATCATACAGTCCTAGCCAAGATGCGGGATTTTCTCGCTGCGTTGAAGACCCATTGGTGGCCTTCGGCTGTTGTCTGCTCTTTGGTCGGGTTGTTGTCTCTTTGACATATTCCCCATTTCCATTCTCAATTTTATGTATACTTTATATTTAAAGGTTTAAATTTCCGCGAGTATAAAAATAATTTTTTTAAATGTGAATAAAATAGGTAAACAGAAACAATCGAAGATCTGCCATCAAAACCTTTAAATAACAAACATATAAAGACATAGGACAATAACTAAATTGTTTTCTGACTTGGGACAGGCACATTAGCATGTAGAAAATGAATATGTCCTTTTAATTGGCCCGATCACCCCAATCCGGGTTGACTGGGGTAAAGAAACAACGTCATTCATACTATTCTCCCGATCCAGCAAACCTTTGCTAAAGTGCTCGCGTCCGTTTGGCTCTGTGGGATGTATAATTTCATAACCACGTCGGACCAGAGTGAGAACGTTAAATCAAGCAAATAATTTTAATTAAGGAATGACTGTAATATTTTTTCTGTCTATGAAGAAATAACATCAAAAATGTGGTGCACACTGAATAACCCGCGTAGCGGGTCATTTTAAAGTGTGCACCACATTTTTTATGTTATTTCGAATAGACAGAAAAAATATTACAGTCATTTCATATAATTTAATTCTAAATTCCATTTTAAACCGGAGTAAACCATGAATAAACGTTGATGACGTCACGGTCACATGACAAAATTATGTCTATGAGCTGATAAACAAAACAACGTCAGCCAATCAGAAGACGTGTTACATCCAAAATTTAATTATTCGGCAATATTCCGATTTTCACATCATTCTAAACGTTTTTAAGTCGTAAAGGGAACAGTGTCATCTTTTGTTCATAAACCTGGCTATTCTGCGCCTACAGTATACGTTATGTCAAACTAGTATTAAATTAGAAAATGTATAAAAAAATATTTCTTCAGATAGTGAAGTGGCCATAAATACAATGTTTGTATATTTTCGCTGTAAATAAAGTTTTTTCCCAGAAATTCTCACGAATTTATTTTTTTGTTAGATTTTGAGGAAATTTTTACTATTGATCTATGACTTTATTGTAGTTTTTTCTGATAATTTTTACTGAATTTTGAGAAAGACCCTTTCAAGAATTTTCATTATTATTAATTTAGAAACGGAAAATTCAATATATACCTGTTTCCATCTGAACTTCAATATTTTAAATTTAATTTAAAATCATTAGCATTTCATTTTTATTAGAAATGTAGAACCAAACAGGAATTATTGAGAATTTTTCAAGTAATATGGTATGAAATGAAATACATGTATATTGGAAAATGTTCGTGTTGTTACTCAATAATTTAACCCTTTGAGCGCCGAGACGTTGTTTTTTCACATTGTTACGTTGCCATACATATTTGAATGACGTTACTATAAACGATACGTAACGTAACGTCAACACATTACCTACAAGCACATGCACGTTATCCTCATAATCGATTAAATGGACATCTCGTACATTCGGGGAAATCCAACATCTTCGGGACTAATCTTTTAGTTTGAGTACACGAAGCGGACCTTGCGTATATTCAGTGATTTTTTTTTATTTTTGGGTTTGAAATCGAAGTTATTTTATTACATTTCTATTTCTTTTTCTAGAATACTATATATAAAAAAAAACACGACAATATGGAAATAGATAAAGGTTTTTATAATATGATAAATATTACAAACAATAAAGATATATTGAAGAAAATATAGCTCAATTGCATAACTGTATTTTGATATAAAGGATCATGCAAGATTTGATATCATCGAGGGATTCAAAAGACGAGCAGTGTTCTCATCTTCATAGTTGGCGCGGGTCTTTTTTTTATAAAGCACCGTTGGTGAAGAGTCCGACTTGACACTTTATCACCACAAAAATCGGGATACTAGTATATAGCATTTTAATGATTTATGATTTAACCATCAAATTCTTAACTGATTGATCAATAAATCGAATGACAACTGCGTTCAGCGGCAAATATTTCATGAATATTCACAACAATAACTTATCTTTTTTTCTGATAATGTATAATCTGAAATAAGTTTACTTTTGCATTACAATTGTGTGACTTACCCTTCATTGTTATTTGCCGATTTGGTTTTGAGGAATGTCACTTGTCTGACTAAACCAGTAGTAGTGAATTTTTAGCATCAATTTTGCTTCTTTTTATGTATAGCCTAAACTGATCTTCTAATTTTTTTTGTATTCAATTCAATATTTTACATATCAAAGGCATGCGAAGTTACATTAATTTCGCAAAATCTGTATTTTTTATGCAACATTTGATGTCTTAATTTGATGTTTATCTGTGGTTCAAACTGTCTTGACCCTTTTATGAGTAAGCTGATTTTTACAGATAATATTTAAGTGTTATGAACACAATTATAGGTACAGGTTAAAGAAATCCTTTGCTGTGTTAAATACATGTCCGACTTAAATCAGTTTTGTCATTAAATGAGGCCTGTCGATATAACTTATTTTCTATTTCTTGTTGCGATCATTGACATCGAAAATCTGATAAAAAAAAATCCCCTTTTCAATGGTGTGATTTAGGCAGATGATGAGAAGAAACTATCTAATCTTAGAGACACACTCTTTTGGCAAGAGTTCATTTAGGAATTTCGGTGAAAATCGATATGGCCTAAAATGCTGTAAATATCTTTTTTTCATTGCTTCCTACTTTATGATGTAGTATCTATTTTTCAAAACTAGTACATGGTTAGTTTGAAGTACGAAATAAAAGAGGTATTTTGGTATGAATAGTTTACCTCAATCATAATTACGGACGACGTACTTTCCTTTTGACTGTGGTTGATTCTTTAAGTTTTTGCATTTGATTTGATACATGCACAAACATAATCACAAACTGGTTACTTCAAAAACCCTTCTCCAATTTTAAACAGAGATGCGGTTTGAGACTTTAACTCCAGGACACAAACAACTAACAAAGATATATAGAGGTCAACTTACAGTCTTAAAAGATAGTCGGACATTGTACAATATTTCAAACACTAAAAGGATAAAGTATACATAGTCTGAATAAATTATCAGAGACTACTAAAATATTGGCATTCATTTCCTAAAAAAAATATAGCAGTCGGATATTAACGAACTAAACCTCTTGGAAAATAAAAGAAAACACTCAAATATTAACGAAAACAACGACTGGGACAATAAATCAACTCTGACACGAGAGAAAACATCCGCCGTTGACTGACACAGATAAATGGTGCCGGGTTGAAACAGTCCTCATATCCCATCCCTTGTATAACGATAAAGTTAGATAGAAGATTGCACTTGTGTGAAGAATAGACGATTTTAGACGACCCTTTATTTTTCAGTTGAAAAATTCTAAATAAAACTCTTTTTACAAGAATGGACATTTACAAATTACATGAATTAATCAACCCTTTCTTGTATGTTCTTAAAACAAAAAATGCTTTGTTATATGCAATATTCAGGTTCCACCATAAGGAAAGATTTTCACATAAAATTTAAAAATAAACTATTGGACTATAGATGATCACGATGAGGACGTGGCGCAGCGAACGTTCTCTCCCTCGAGATTTTGATTTTTGTAAGCCAAACGGAAACATTTCTAACAACACTGTTGTCTTGGAATTACAAGAAAGGCCCCATCATATTTTTTATACTTGTATCTCTTTTCCTTAGCTCTATTGATTATATCTTGATCTTTATCATTTATAGTCATACGTAGTAGTTAGATTAGAGTCTTGTTTAATCTTTCCTACTATCAAAACAAAAACAAAAAACCAAAAAAAGATTCAAAATGCTGACAATAGTCTAATAGTTTTAATGGATCAGATGGACTAAAAAAATCTACATGCTGTTAATAACTTCTATATAAAAAAAGTTCGTATATCAATTTTGTGTGTTGGATTTGAATTTCGAGTTTTTCATGTAATGTCACAGGAAAAGGAAAGCGAAAAAGCTGTTGACCTAACAGAATTATTAGGAGAAAATCTATTTCAAAATGAGTTAGCAGTTCAAATAAATGTATTGTAAAATTTGTTCTCGAATGGTTATCAAATGCCATACTGTGTTTTGCTAAACCTTGTTTTGCTTAACCTTGTTTTTAAGGGAGTTGTCTTTAAAGCTGCGGTCACACCTTATTATTACGGATAGCTCGAACGGACGCCGAACGGATGAAAACAAAGTTTTCCGTTGACAAAATTTGTATCCGTTGGGAGTCCGTTGGTGTACTGACCATATAAAACGGACGCATAACGAATGGTTAACGGACACACACCGGATATGTAACGTTCGAGAAACGGAAACGTACCGGACAGAACGGATGTCGAACGTACATCCAACGGACTAGTACCGCATAAAACGGACACCTAACGAAAGCGTACCGGATAAAACGGATGAACAAGATAAGCGGGAAATTAAAGTCGGCAATATTAATTCATGTAAATCACATAAACGTGACCTTAAAATAATTAAAAAGTTTTCGTGTAACTGGTTGTAGTCTAGAAGGTTTATATTTGCAACATATAAGTTCAGTCTGGCCTAAATGAGAGCTGTTTGATAGTGAAGACGTGCCCTTACACAGCGATCCATTATGAACAATAAACATTCATGACATTCAAGAAATTTTACATACCAATAATTGGCATTTCTAACGCGAAATTTTCAATTGGCATTTATTCGTTTTACATTCGGTACGTATCCGTTTTATCTGTTATCCTTCCGTTCATGTCCGTTTCACATCCGTTTATCACCCGTCTTATCCGTTATACGTTCGTTATACGTCCGGTAGTAGTCCGTTGGTGAATTGGTCTACCGGACTATCAACGGATGTATAACGGACAAGTAACGGATACAAAACGGAAACGAAACGGACGAGTACCGTTAAAAACGGACGACTACCGGACGTTAAACGGACACTTTATCCGTTGGACGTCCGTTCGAAGTTTTAAACATGCTCAAAATTTTCCACCGGACAGAACGGACGTCGACGGTTAAAACAGAAGCTGAACGGACATGAAACGGATATGGACGGACGTCTAACGGATATGAACGGACTTCTAACATGAACAGATTGAAAAAAAAGTTATCCGTTCGGCGTCCCTTTGCGCTATCCGGTAAGGTGTAACCGGGGCTTAAGGGTTTTAAAAGTATATCCGAGCCAATATGACAACTCCACCAGAGACCAAATGACCGTAATGTAGAAGTTAACAATTTGTACCGGTAGGTCACCGTACTGCCTTCAACAATGAGCAAAACCCATACCACATAATAAGCAATAAACGGGCCCCGACATGACAAATGTAAAACAATTGAAACGAAAAACTTATATTTAGAAGTTATAAATTCCAAACATGCATCATTTCATGACATTTGCTTCACTGAGTTGCTTCGCCATGCTAATTTTTTATTGATGCAAATTTAGTGTCAATTTTGTTAGCGTCATCAAAAACTACACCACCAATTCAGTACAGTATTAAAATGTATAGAATATTTTTTAAGCAAATTGCTGCGGATTGACTCTCAGAAAGTTGCGAAAAGAATCACTATCTTCGTTTGACAATTCTTTGAGCAGAGTTTGGCAAACACCCAGATCTGCTCTTCTTGCCAACCATGGTTTTGTCCAATTCCGCTTTACCTTTTTCGTTCGTCTTTAAGCGGTAGTAGCAGCAACGATGTATTTCAAGGCTCTCTTCCTCTTACTTTTCATGTTGTAACTTTTCCGTTTTTGAAAATGGTGAAAGATGACGTTTTCGGATAAATGACGTAATGGTCATCAATTCATGACGTCATAGCGATTATGTCATAATTTGTTTGATGAGACGATCACGGAGATTCGTGTAGTTCCATTTCTTAGCTCACCTGTCCTCAAAAGGTCATGCGAACTATTGCCATTCGTTTGCACCCGGTGTCCGTCTGTCCACATTTCACATTAAGTCAATCTTCTGGTTTGAAACAACTGGGCTAGATGGAACCATATTTTGGTGGAATAGTCCTTGGAAACGGGTTTTGACATTCATTAGATGTCAAATGACAATTTTTATTTAATAGGCTTTTTTTCAGTTGTCATCTTTTTTTCAGTTTGATAGGTTTTTTACAATCTTTTCTTGGCTTCTGTGAATCAGATGAGCGATTACAGGCTCCATGGAGCCTCTGGTTAAAATTCATTAACCATTCACCAATCATTAATTCAATTATTTTTGTTTAAATTTTTATAAGATAATTGCCGATTACATGCCGTATAGATAATTAAGTTGCTGCGTTTTGAAAAATAAAAGCACCTGCTAAAATCTGTTCAAAATCGAATGAAAAATCGTATCGTGTGAACAGAACGCTGTACGATTTACCTGTGCGGTGGTATCAAATCGGATGAAAAATCGAAAGGAAAATCGTATCGTGTAGACGCACCTTAAGGAGAGTGTCACGCTCTCTGCATGTAAAAGAACCATTGCAACAACTCTCCGAGGGTCCACATTTTGCCAGGAAAATTGTTTGCCCCATCCAACATACCCTCATTTTCCAGTGAAAGACTTAATTTCACGCCTATTAACCCGTTCGTCCTATTATTTTACAATAGTCTTCATTAAAATAAAAAAAACGTGAAAATTGCATATATAATTGATATTTTTTTTAAATAAGCAACTCTTCAAAGTTCAATCCGCTTTTTCGAGCCATCACAGTTTTATGACACCCTTACTAATATATATATTAGTTCAGTCATTCAATAAAATTTGCGTTTATATATGTGTTACTAGTAGTTTAACTTCTGGAATTTGAACATAAATGCATTCAATCTTTACTGTTATGTCATTACAGACGAAACCAAAATAGGCTTCCTTGCTACCCCATCGAGACCTCTGAAAAATATTAAAATGCATGCTACTGTGATATATGATCTTGTTAAAACCAACATTGGTGGAGGATACGATCCTGCAACCGGCAAGTTTACCGCACCTTCTGATGGCTTGTATTATTTTAGCTGGACTACACTAACAAATCCTAATGGTGGTTTCATTACGAGTCTTCAGCTGAATAATGATAAGGGAATTATCATTGGAAATCATGCAAGAGCCAGTGGTATTAAGGATTATCTACCGTCTAGCCAAAGTGCAGTTGTTTCTATGAAAAAGAGGGATACAGTTTACATAAGGAACTGGGCTTATGGTCACTACATGTCAAATTTCTATTCAAGCTTCAGTGGTTTTAAGATCTAATTGGCATACAGATTCGGACATTGCAGTTGTTTTCAATTTCAACAATAAACAGTTAATACATATAGTTTTTTTTTTCTTTTTGCTATTTAAACTTATCAACAGTTTGGAACCTTAATAAACAAGTATACGAGTCAATCTTGCACAAGCTGTACAATCAGTACCGAAGACAAATTATATAAACTTAATAATATATTTTTAGAAAGATATTGCCTTCCCTTTTATTATGTATCGAAATCACGCAATACTATTAATACGAAAATTACGGTTTTATAATGTCAAGACATTCTATATGAATAAAAAGAGATGTAGAGTAAACGTCAAAGAGACAGCAATCGAATGTCAAAATATGCGTCTGGTACAGTAAAATTGGTACTGTTTATTATATATACCCTTTCGGAGCACCTGAGATCATCCCCAGTTTTTAGTGGGGTTCGTGTTGCTCAGTCTATGTTGTGTTTTGTGTACTGTTGTTTGTCTGTTTGTCTTTTTTTTTTATTTTTTAACCATGGCGTTTGTCAGTTTATTTTCGACTTATGAGTTTGAATGTCCCTTTGGTATTCTTCGCCTCTCTTTTATTATAAGTGCGGATATGCTTACCATGACAACACGTGCATTCATTCTTGTTTGTATTTGTATATTGACGTTATTTTTTAGAGTTAACAACTTTTCCTGTACTGATTTTAGTTTTGTTCTTTTTATACAGAAAGAAACCGGTATATGTTTCAAGACAATGAATGTATGGTTATTCTCTTTATACTGCAACTCTTATAACTGTTCCAAATGAAATATTTTGGGTAAATCATCAATAGCAAGTTTATTGTCCTCATAGCCGCCAGTAAATAAGTGTATATTACATGTATACCGAAATCAAAGTAGTATGCTCACTATTACTTAGTAAACTCAATGATCGGGTTTCTTCCGCTATCTTGGATTGTAAAATAGCAGAAAACAATCGGTCTAGATTTTGAATGAAAAATGCAAATTTTGTGAGGAACGTAATTCATTATAAATAAATTTCTATCAAAAATAAGGCTCAAAGAGCTTTTTATATTGTTTATATTAACAATAACAACGTACACACATGTTGGCGTATGAATACACAACGTCAGAGTGGGCGTGTCGCCATAAAAATTGACAACATTGAAAATAAAGGTAATACTTTTAACCAATCAGAAGACAGTAAATACACCAAATTTATTTATTTATGAATGAATTTCAGAACTTTTTTCGAAAATGTTATGCTTTCTATACAGTCATATGTTCACTTATTTTGAAAGAATTCATTTTTAATATTTCGGAGATAAATTCATTATTTTTTCGATTTTCGAAGAAGCCAAAGTTGTGTGCAAAATTTGACCTAAATCTGTGACATAGCCCATGCATTTACTGTAACTTGACCTTAAATACAACTCTTCGGGAACATATTTTCAACTTCACACAGTCAGTGGCTGTATATAGCAAATATTTCTACGGTCAATGTGATTTGAAAACGCACAATCTATGAAGATAAACAAATTAGTAAAATAACGGTACCAATTTTACTGCACCAGTTGCGCATTTCGACAATTACTGTCTCCTCTGTGATGATCGAGGCCAAAATATTTGAAAGTCTAAAAAAAGTAATACAAACTTTGAACAGCTGATAAAACCAAAAAAGACTAAAAGTTAAGTCAAATCCGGACAAGAAATAAGAGCTATCGTTGAGGGAGATACATTCATAAATTTAAAATGATTTCGAAATTTTATAGGAGCAAATTTCAGAAGAACAATATTCGTATTTTCAGGCCAGTACTGACTACTTGGTGAGTGATACCATCGGGGACTAACAGTCTTACAACAGAGGTATCGACCTTGTGGTAATAATAAAATTAACGGTATCAATTTTATTGCATCAGACTCGCATTTCGACAATCAATGTCTCTTCAGTGATTATCGAAGCTAAAAAAAATGGCGGTTAGTGCAAATATGTACATGAGAAACTAGTATATGTAGGTCAAGTACTAGTTCAAATATGATTAAAGAGTGAAATACAGTTTTATGTGAGACTTTTTTATTTCAACAATGTGATTTGATGCAGTGACCGCTTTTTGAAATATCACAATCCAGGAGTCCAATGATACACCTCAGCCGTATTTCGAGTAATCTGTAAAAAAAAGTATACTTAAAAATATTTTTATATGACATCTAATACATTTGACCGATTGATTGACGGTTACTGCTTAATGACCAGTAGCATATATAAAGTATAATCAGGATGAAAACATGTAATGCTTTTTACTATAGCTAGATCGAGACGCTGCGTCAGTCCGATTTTTAAAGTGTCAGCTAGCTTACATGGTAAGTCAAGAAGAATACCTGTCACCATGGTAACAGTCAGTCAGGAAGAATACCTGTCACCATGGTAACAGTCAGGAAGAATACCTGTCACCATGGTAACAGTCAGGAAGAATACCTGTCACCTTTATATGACGACAGATTGTTAAAACAACGAGGCGGTCGACAAGGCTCTGCTCTTACTCCTTATTGCTTCGTTCATGTCGTTATTAGCTTATTGAAACACACAAAATACCGCTTTACAAGTCTTCCGTAATAAACAATTTCATAGTTACTCAAAGATACGTGTATGTCAAACTCTACATAACGATACAAATAATCGATTATTATTCAACGTCCAACCGCAAATATCACATGTTAAGTAGGAGAAGAACATGTTAATGGGATATAAATATGAACCCTGGTTTGTTCCAGGTAGACATAATGAGCCGGATTTACAAGGTGCTAGAAATATTTGTAAATAAAACACTTTTTAACCCCCCCCCCCCCCCCCCCCCCCCAAAAAAAAAAAATAGAATATAATCAAACAAGAGGAGTTCTTAAAAATATCAAATTTTGCCTCTTGTGTCACTGAATTTCATGCAATAGTTGATAAAAAAAATAATATGTTGCAATATTGTATATTATTATCTTACCTTTAAACTAAGAGTTTTGTTTATCCGTTGTTATTTCCGGTGGCGTTGGTGAATTGGAGAAGAAGGAGGAATCCGAACACTGTAAAGAAAAAGCAGAAAATATCTGAATGGAATACATGATATTCTCAGTTTAATGTCATGTCATGAGGGTGTGGATGGGAGTTTACAGAATAGAGAATAATGGGCAAAAGATATAAAGAAAAGAGAAAAATGAACAAAACAAAAGAAGAGAATAATGAGGTGCTAAAATATAAAGAATAGAGAATATTAGGCAAAAAGTATAAAGAATAAAGCAAAATTGCCTAAACAAGTAAATAATACAGTAATGAATGACCCCATCCAGACCCTCATGTTATTTTGTTATCATATTGCAATCAGGAGAAGACTTCACAAGTTGGTAAAACTTCTGTCTGATCTTATTCATATCTTTGAGAGAAAAAAATAAACTAAATAAATGGGAATTAAAAATTTTAAAAAAGCGAATGTAAATGCAATCGTGTTGTGAAAACATGCAGAGGAATATTGAATGCTATATAAGCAGAATTTCAATTTAACTTAATTCCTTTGATGCACCAAAAGTTTCTTTCGAAAATCTTTTTCTCACCAGCAGTGCTCGCTAGGACAAATATCTAAATGCATTAAAAGTTGAAAGCCCCGTTTACTTTGTAACCTTGAAAGTTGGCGATATTATTTTGAAAATACTCATGCTGAGAAACCCTTTTTGCAGCAATTACTAGTTTTAATATAATATCTGTTTTTTATGGAAATCATATAAAAAAATAATGATTTAATTAAAGACTCACGGTAGTTGAGGAGTTTTGCATTTTTGACTTGTGCAGTAACTTGGTTTCCGTAATTGTACAGTCTGTTCTGTGCATTGTATGCGCCGAGCTGTTGGTGGTAGTACTGGTTATATCCTGCTCCTCCCCACTGGGCGCTGACAGTTACCAAGGCAACCAAACATGGCAAAACAATCAACAGTACAGATTTGTTCATCTTGAAAATATGACAATCCTTTGCTGAAAATATAATTTAAATGTCCATGATATACACTGAGAGCGTTGTTGAGCAATTATAGAGTTGCATAATTAATAAGGTAATAAGTTGAAAAAATAATTGACAGTGCTGTTACTTATCCTTTTCGTACCTAGTTTTTGCACAATTTCATTTGTTCTAAGACCTTTACATATTTGCACAATTTGTAAGGTTTGTATTTCATGAATTTCAAAGTTTAAAATATTTTTCTGTTTTCTCAGTTACACGACGTTAGTTTTACTTCAATCTACTTTTATTTTAAAGAATACTTTGTTTTCTTTTATGTTATTCGTGTAGCATTGATTTTCGTCATTATCAAAAGAATACAAATGAAAATAATGAATATGATATTTCGATGTGAAAATAAAATAATAACATTCAGTTTGCTGCGGTTATCTTCTATGAAGAACCAGAACATATTTGTTTTTAAAGCTTTAAATTTAAAGTGTTTTAATAGAAACACATATCCTACCTGATCAGACAGAGAAGTGTGCGTTTACCATGTACATACGGGTATTTATATCATTGTACCGCCGCCATTTTAAGAACTTCCGTGTCGTCTGTCACCCATGTTACAACAAATCGTCTGCAATATGTACAACATTACATTACACCGTCTACTAATTATTCAATGAACTTCCGTTTTCGTTGGAAGAGTTAAAAATTGCATGTACATTACATTTTCTATTTTTACAATTGGTACATTAATTTTCTAAATTTCTTTTGTATAGAGTATGGCTGAACAAAATGAAATGAATAAATAAAAGATAAACCATTTTTAAACATTCTTTCATTTTTCCTTAGATGCTGTTCTTTGACCTGTACAGGAAGTTTTATCTGGCACTAATTGTATAGTTTTATTGTTGATATTCACCCCATATGTACCAAGTGTTAGATTAGTTTTATTGATATTAAAGAAATTTCTTGGTATTCCTAAACGGAAGATTTTATACACACAGAAGAAGAAGTATACTTCACAACAAAATTATTTTCATTTACCTGTGTATAATATGACGCAGGTTTCTTCAAAAGTGATGATTTTATAAAAATTATTTGACAGTTCACAGTGATATTATACTTTAACTTTGTTTAAACCTGTTTATTTACTTTTGACTTTAATTATTTATCCCTTGTAAATTTTTATTAACTGTGTATTTGCATTCAGGTGTCACAGGTCAAATTTATTCGTTCATTGTGCGTTTATTTACGTTTTTTTATTGTGTTAAGCCTTCCAATTAATATTTTATAGTGTGTTTTTCTATGTTGTGATGTTATACTATTGTTTCAGAGAAGAGAGAAGGTTTGGTGCCATAAAAACGCTGAACCCGCTGCAAATGTTTGCGCCTGTCCTGTGTCGGGAGTCTGATTGCAGTGGTTGTCGTCTGTTTATGTGGTTCATATGTGTTTCTCGTTTCTCGTTTTTGTATAGATTGGACCGTTGGTTTTTCCGTTTGAATGGTTTTACACTAGTAATTTATTGGGGCCCTTATAGCTTGCTTTTCGGTGTGAGCCAATGCTCCGTGTTGAAGGCCGTACCTTGACCTATAATGGTTTACTTTTATAAATTGTAACTTGGATGGAGAGTTGTCTCATTGGCACTCATACCACATCTTCCTATATCTAATTAATATTTAGAATTAGTTTAATGATACTAATACTGTATTGTCATGTTAACAAATAGGTTAGGATTCACAGAGGAGTGCAGAAGGCATGACCCTTTCTAAAAAACGCACCCCACCCCCTCTTTCTCCTTCCAAGGTTCAATCCACCATTTTCTACATAAGAAAATGCCTGTACCAAGTCAGGAATATGACATTTGTTATCCATTCGTTTGATGTGTTTGAACTTTTGATTTTGCCATTTGATTAGGGAATTTCCTATTTGAATTTTCCTCGGAGTTCACTATTTTTGTGATTTTACTTTTTTCCCAAAACACTAAATAAACAAAATGTTAAAAATATAAAAGATAAAACGATGTACTTGTAAAAGTCAGTATTACTATGAGATACTCCCGATAAAAACTACAACTGACATATAAAATAAAGTTCTCTAAAACAATGATATTCTGTGTTGACATAAATTATCATTGATATGGTCATAAATAGAAATTATCTGTTTACAAAACTTTTTTGAATTTTTCGAAATACTGAGGATATTCTCAGGAATAGATTACCATAACTGTATTTGGCAAAACCTTTCGGAATTTTGGGTTCGCAATGCATTTAAACTTCGTACTCTATTTGGCCTTTTTAACTTTTTTAATTGTAGCGTCACTGCTTGAGTCTTTTGTAGACGAAACGCGCGTCTGGAATTCAAAATTTCAATTCCGGTAGGATTAGTTTATTTACAGCAGATCTGTTCAGATAGTTGCTAAATCGATTTCGCTTATAAAAGAGGCCATGGTCACTAACCTTTTACCTCGATACAGATAATTGTATAAATCATGGTCACATCTCACGATTTCCTTGATAGTAATAATGATAGAATAAACATGCGGAATTTTAGTTGTAATTAAAATTACTTGTTAAAAATGAAAAGATTCAAAATTTTAGTTGTAATTGAAATTATTTGTTGTAAATGAAAATAACACTTGTTAAATGTTGTGCGTTCGTAGATATAAGAAGATGTGGTATGAGTGCCAATGAGACAACTCTCCATCCAAGTCACAATTTGTAAAAGTAAACCATTATAGGTAAAAGTACGGCCTTCAACCCGGAGCCTTGGCTCACACCGAACAGCAAGCTATAAAGGGCCCCAAAATGACTAGTGTAAATAAAGGCAACAGTAGTATACCGCTGTTCGAAATTCATAAATCGATTGAGAAAAAAACACATTCGGGTTACAAACTAAAACTGAGGGAAACACATTAAATATAAGAGGAGAACTTCGACACAACATTAGAATGTAACACACACAGAAACGAACTATAATATAACAATGGCCATTTTCCTGACTTGGTACAGGACATTTTAAGAAAAAAATGGTGGGTTGAACCTGGTTTTGTGACTAGCCAAACCACGCACTTTTATGGCAATGTTAAATATAACACTAAAATGACACCATTACATGACATGAATACAGTACAACATTACGGACAGAGAATTATGCAAATAAACAATACAATATAGTACATTTGGACAACGAAACAACAGAAACACTGAAGTAAACAAACAAGGAACGACAATGCAACACACACAGAAACAAACTATACGATAACAATTGCCATTTTCCTGACTTGGTACAGGACATTTTTAAGAAAAAAATGGTGGGTTGAACCTGCTTTTGTGGCTAGCCAAACCTCCCGCTTTTATGGCAATGTTAAATATAACATTAAAATGACAACATTACATGACAGGACTACAATACAAATAAATGGGAGAACATATAGGACAGAGAAACATACGAATAATAGCTAACAAAAGGTTCCAGGTTTAAAATTTAACACGCAAGACGGACGTTTCGTCCACACAAGACTAACCAGTGACGCCCAGATCAAAAAAGTACGAAAGTCAAAACAAGTACAAAGTCGAAGAGCACTGAGGACCAAAAGTTCCAAAAACATGGCTAAGGTTATATGTCTGGGACAAGAAAACCCCCAGCATTTAGAATAATTCACACAGGAAAACCATTCAAACAGGAAAACCAACGGTCTAATCTATATAAAAAACGAGAAACGAGAAACACTTATGAACCACATCAACAAACGACAGCCACTGAACATCAGGTTCCTGACTTAGGACAGGTGCAAACAAATGCAGCGGGTTTAAACGTTTTAATAGACATTTTCGAAAAGTCATCTACACGGACACTTATACCGACACCGATACATACACTGACTAAAAAAATATAGGGACCGTATCAAAATGTCAAAATATACTGAACGAATAACCTCGTAAAACTTAGTTTGACTCAGCAGAGGTAAAAAAACATATAAATTCATTATTCTGTACTTGGTTTTTATATATTTTGTTATACGGAATCTGAGCATGGAACACTAAGTGCTCTCGTTAGTTTTGGAACTCCTTTAGTGATGAATTTGTGATATTCCAACTAATTGTCGAATCATACTGATTGGTCTTTTTAAAGCAGTAATTTGCAGTTTTTAGGGGGGAAATAACAAAAATGGGCAATAATCTTATCAAAAGAGAAAATGGGGTACAACTTTTTACGTTCAAATGTGTATGGTTTGACTGTTTTTTCCAGAAAACGTATAAAGCAAAAATATTTTACATCATCTCGCTTTAGATCCCTTATTTGTATATATTTAGGCTACATTTTGATATAATTACAGATTTACAAATTCACAGTATACCAAAACATGAAATATATGGGTCATGTAAAATACCCTTCTTTTGTGCCAAAACAACTGAGTAGGTGTGTTTGAATAACAAAAGAAAAGCTTCGTGCTACATTGTACTTCAAATGTTTAAACAGGATGTATATTTCTTACTTGTATTTTTTTCTACTTTCGTTCATTCATTTTTCAGTGAAAAATTTAGGCATATTAATTACTTTTTTCATGAAATGTATAAAAAAAAAATTCGGAAACACAGTTCACTAACATTCCCCTAAATTTATACTAAAAGTACTTGACTTTTAAAGTGGATCTTTAAAATGCATAACTTAAAGAAAAATGTTTTTATGTGTTATCTAGGGTATTTATTCTTCAAACTCTGCAATGTTTTGTCAGCCCTTCTACAAAATACTTAATACATAGAATCTTTTTTATTGTTTTTTGAACTTTCGAAAATTCCCCCTGACAACCAATCAGATTTAATTGACGAAAGGACTAAAAGTACATTACATGATGCCTTATAGCTAGTAGATACATTTGTCTTTTAAAATTCAACTGCCATGTAACTTTAGGGATCATAATTATGCCATGTGGATAAATTGGTCGATTTTCAAGAGCTAAATTGACAGCGCGTCATCCCTACAATGGCTACCATTTTCACGATTGAAAAAAAAAATGAAGAGATACTTTTGACGATGTAGAATCCTGACTTTCTGTGTAAAGTTCTATTAATTTACACAAAGCCTCCACCCTTTTTTTACAAAGTATAATATGAAGATCGGTCAATTATCAGCTTCAAAATAGATCCAATAGATTAAAAAATCATTGAGAAAAACAAATTGTATAATACAGTATTTAAAATGCAAATTAGATAAATATTTTATAAATGCTCTTTGTACACCTTGAGACCCTTCTCAAAAAGGTTACCTGTTGTCCTAGGCATAGGTGTATAAGTTTTCGAAAATGTCTAATAGGCACAAACCTTCACCCTTCCTGAAACAATAGTGTAAAATCACAACATAGAAAGACACACTATAAAATATCAATTGAAATGGCTTAACTCAATCAGAAGGCATATTAACAAAAACAAGTTAACATAGGGCTTTTCTGAATTTACCTTCATTTGGAACTCTCTAACGAAAATATTTGAAAGACAGGGATGTATAAATACGTAAATTCGTTATGAGCTATATGACCAAAATATATCTTAAAAGAATAGCCGATCCATTAAGGTCAACTTTGCCTGAGGGGCCCCTTAATTTCTTCAAAAGTTAAGTAACTGTTTTCTGTAACACATTTATGATGTTGCATTTAATTTACTTTTCTATCGGTTATGTATACACACAATGTATTAGGGATTTGCATGTTGTTTCTTTTTTCTCTCTCTCTTTTAGGGGCTCAAGTGATGACTTATTTTATAACTATAACGCCATTCATGCGCGATGTCGCAAGCATTTGCCCAACATACACTCAGTTTTCATCAACCCAATATGTTTTGTTTTACAGACCCTTCAATGGGACAAAATATGCTTACAACTTGAACCTTAATATACATATACACAGGTTGCCATTGGATGTTAAGCAAACAATTAACAGTCAATGAACCAAGACATACCTGTAAACATCGAGGAAATAGAGGTAGAGTCTGAAAAGTGGGTCAACTTGAATGAAGGGCGGGAAACCAGTCTGAAGCATGTTGGAAGGGGATACCTACGGACCATTTCGGCATCGGATATAATGTCTCCATTTCGAACGGATGTGACTGCGTATTTATACATCCCTCTAACCTTTTATTGTAGTTTGAACTAGTTTTGCCTATGGGCAGCACTACGATATATCATTGATTCATAATGTATTTCACGTATGATTGTGTAGGCGTCTTAAAATTATCACTTGTGACCAAACTTGAACACAAGCATATCGTGAAAGTCTTTACTAATATTGGAAAGGCTGTCGTTAAAAATAGCATGTTTTGATAAGGGACATGATGACAAGGTCACCAAAGCTAGTATTTATTCTACTGTAAGTAAGACATTAGTACTGCCAGTAAAAATATTGATAGTGAAGTTATGTATTATCATTTGACCATAGTTCTGAGTATTGTAACGTGCGGTGCAGGTAAATATACTATTACATGAACGATTTCATGAAAAAGAAGTTCCTATAAATATAAGTTCAGATGGAATAAAAATTCTGGAATATTATTCCCACTGGAAATAATGTTAGAAAATGTGATCCTGGCGGGATTAAGGGTATACAGCATTTATTATTCATCATTTGCGTTATTTAAAACAAAGTTCCCAGAGAACTTTTGTTAGAAGGAACAAATTTACTAGTGTTTAATTAATATACATTTTAATTACCATGATATATAATAATTTCTCAAGGCAATTTTTGAAGCAAAAATTCCTACAATCTGGACGATTTTTCCATCCTACCTATTATGTGTCATCCTTTCCTCTATGTTGTTGCGGAGTGTGCATTTCTCATGCATGTCGATATACATTTTGTACATATACACGTGCTTGCTATGATTTTCAGATTTTAATAAATGTAATATTATTATTTGTACAACGGGATACACATATCATATATTTTTTTAAATGTTATCGGAAGTAGAAGGGGTTTATATGTGGAAATATGATTTTACTTGCAGAAATTTAGTAAAACGTGATTTTTCATATCCAGCTTTTTTTTTGTGTTGATATAACGTATATTAAATACGAAAATATGAAATCATCCCTCGAAAGTTTTGCGGAAACAAATATGATTTGGCTGACGGTTATGAAATATCTGTGTCACGTGGTCACAGATATGTTACAGTTGTCGTTCCATGTCCTCTTTCCTACCAAATAAGAATTATCACCAAATTTGTACTTAATGAGCAGCACAACGGGTTGCGATTCTGCCAACTCTTCCATAGCACATGCTGTCACTCCAGTGTTTTGGTGGGGTTTGTGTAGCTCGGTCTTTAGTTTTTTATGTAGTGTTTTGTATACTTTTGTATGTGATCGTATTTCGTTTTTGATATGGTATTGTTGAATCTTCTTCGACTAATGATTTTTATTGACCATTTGGTATTTTTTACCTCCCCCTTTTATAATTAATGTCCATATATCGGAAATGTGTATCACTATTAACTTAACAGTATGGTCTTTTTTCAGCTGTACCAGCATTCACTCAAGGTCAAGTCGTAGCTACTGTTACGTCACATCATATCGAAGAGGCTTCTGGGATAGCTGCCAGTAGAACACATCCAGGAGTTTTATATACACACAACGACCACGGAGATGGTCCCGATATTTACGCCATAGACAGCGTGACGGGGCACAGGATATCTACAATTACAGTAAACGGCGCACACAATTCTGACTGGGAAGATATTGCGTATGGCCCATGTGATGCTGGATACTGCTTATACATTGGTAATATCTAATGTTTTGTATTTGATTTTGAATAAGAATTGATAGTGACGGTCCCTTTCCCCATCCCTTTCTTAAAAATCGTATGCATTATCATGCTTGCCTTGAATCTATATAATGATAAGGAAATAGTTTTAAATGTATATATTGAAATATAAAAACAAACGTTATGTCCTGTAAGTCAGTATGTATATTTAAACGAACCTTGTTTTATTGTGTCATGTATTTCGTATACTCATTATAACCGGAAACTAAGCTTAATGGAAAAGTATAGAATTTGAACTGTTTCTGTATATTTTCGAACTGGTCGTCAACGTTAACACTTTTTCTCAAATATAATAATTATTATTCTGCAAGTAATTATACCTCGGTGACTTGAAGTACAAAAGCAGTAATGTTAACCCAGTGATACATGACAATTTACAAGATACTGAATTGATGCATTATTTGCGTATTTTGTAATTTGATTTCAAATTTTCATTAATGGTGCTGGAAATGTGGAAAAAAATATATGATTTGACTGAAAAATGCGCGTTAAGTGCGTTTTATTTGAATTGGTATATAATGTTAAATGTTCTTTATCCATTTTTTGTTTCGTATAAGAAATACGTAACAAATAATATTGCTGCTCCACAATACGGAAAAGCTTGGATTAAAAAGGAAATAGTTTTAAAGTAATTCATGGATTTTACAATTTTTTTTTTAGGACGCTCACAGGTGTCTTAATGAGAACGATTTCCATATCGTCTATTAAGATAATATGAAGGTGGTAACATATTGATTGATTGTTCTTTGCTTAACGTCCAGTGGCAAATATGTCATGCATATTCAGGACGATAACAATGGTATTGAAACTGTCAAATTCCTGTTGTATGATATTGTACATATTCCACGTTTTTCTACTTTATTTCATAAAGATGCTAATTTGTTTTACAACTGAGCGTTTATTTACAGCTTCAATCCTCCGTGTTGAAGGCTTCACTGTGACCCTAAGATGAAGAACAGCAATAAAAGCACCGTTCCTTTGGGTTTTGTGTTTTTTGATGTGCATGTATTGATTTTGTGTCAATCATGGATGGATATCCTATATCTTTTCTTTTCTGTTAGAGGTTAACAAAACAAATAACTTTTACGCTTTATTTTATATTTTTTTTATAAAACAGGAGATACGGGTGATACTGGCGCCAAGAACAATATCTATATGATACGGGAACCAGCGTCTGTACATAGCAACCAGCATGTAGACGTCTACAAACAATTACATTTCTCGTAAGTACAGGTATCTCGCATTCATAGATGTTCTTCACCGGAAAAGTCCGTCAAATATCCCCGCCTCAATTTTATGAGTCATTTGCCAGATAGAGGGGCACGCTTATACGAGGGTCTGGAGGGTCTGTAAAAAAGGGGGGGGGGGTTCCTTCATTTCTTTATTTTGTGTAGACGATTGTTCACTTTTTAATTATTTTCCTCATTATATATATTCTCTATTCTATATAATAAAGCACCCAATTATTCTCTTTTCTTTATTTTCTGGCCCATTTTCAGGAGCATTTGCCCTTTATTAACTATTCTGTAAACCCCGTCCAGACCCTCCTACATCCCTGCACTATTAAAGTTCTCCAAGCGTGATGCAGGATAAACTATAACTTTTGTTCCCTAAAGACTGCAGTGCTGATAACTGATTAATAGAATTCAATTTGCCGAATATTTTGTGCAATATAGCATCATTTCGTTCAACCCACGCTAAACATTGGAATGAAGTGATGATGCAACTAAAGTCACGAATGACTTTCACTAAAACCAAAGTGTTTGATTAAATATCAACGAACTAAAAAATCCCGTATTGTAAACCAAGGTTTTTATATGGTCTCGTTAGGAGAGTGAAATCCTTTTATCCTCGGTGGTCTCGTGGTAGCGTGTTCGCCTCGAGTGCGGGAGGTCGTGGGTTCAAACCACGGCCGGGTCAAAACAAAGACTTTGAAATTGGTATTTGCTGCTCTTGCTGCTTCTCCCCTAAGCACGAAATAAAGGAGTAAGAGCAAAGACTGGTCAGCTCGGAGTCATAATAATGTGTCCGGGTAAGGTGATATGTCTTATTGCGGACTGTTACCTTATGAAGTAGCACGTTAAAAATCCGGCTCAGCTTGTCGGTCTAGTACAAAGTAGGGTCAATATTCATATTACATTAACATGTTCTCGTCATGAATATGCATATTAGTTTGCCGTTGGACGTTAAGCAGCCATCCATCATCATCATCATCATCATCATCATCATCATCCTTTTATCTGTTATGATGGCTAATAAAAAAAATATTATGTCACCAATATTTGAACCTTATCTAGTATATTTTTGACTCTGTTATTATTTAATGAGATAAAATGTTCTTTGGGCTGTATACATGGCAGTGCAAAAATGAGGCTGAAGATTCCAAGGGGACATTCAAAATTCACAAATTAAAGATAAACTGACAACGAACGTCATGGCAAAAAAACAAAAAATGCATGCATCTACAGTCATACGGTTCAAAGGTCCATTTTGAAAACCGATAATTTAAACAAGATCCATTTGCACATGTTAATGTCTCTGTGTTTTAATAAATCCACTTTTTTGTAAATCTATTCCTTTCTTTGCCCTCAGGAAAACAAATTATAAAAATATGAATGAATGATAAACTGCAGACGTCAAAGGCGAATATGATTTTCTTACAACTGATAATCGCTCCATTAAATATTCATTAATCACAATTATCAAAGTTGGTATCAATGACATGAAATATTTGTATTCAACAAGTGAAGATGAAATAAATTAAAAAAATTAATGGCAGCCAGAAAAATAAACAATTTGTGAATAAGATTTTTCGTAATGTATTTCTATTATTATGTCATTATATATTCGTTTAGTTTTGAGAAACTGTCAAAAGAAATCAGCTCATGAAAAAAATTAAGGCAATCCGTGCTTAGTTTTTTTTTATGTATTTAAGAATTGAATCATTCTTTTAATAGTTTTATTGGGGTGTAAAAGCGTTGACCGAAGCACATTTTGTATGTTCCGCGCTTTATATTAAAAATATGCACACGATCAACGCTTTTATAACCCTATATAATTATAAAAAGAAGCATTCAATTGTTATAATTACATTTTTATGCTATACAACCATGAAATTAAGAGTTATATCAAGCTTTTCGTTTGTTTTAACATGGTTACAGATAGCACGTGCAGTCATAGCTGTTGTAATTTATAAGGAAATACAATATGATATTGGAGTGCCTCGCGATTGTTGTCAGCAAATCAAAATTACATCCAAATATATCAGCCGGTTGCTTTTAACCAATCATATTCCTAGAAATGTATAGGAGGTAAGATAATATATGATATTGGAGTGCCTCGCAATTGGTGTCAGCCAATCAAAATTACGAGTTCTAATGAAATATACATGTAATATATTGAAATACAAATTAACGTGATATGTGTTTCTTTTTTCAAAGGTGGTCAGAAAGTGACTGTGAAACGTTGTTGGTTGACCCACGAGGTGAAGTCTACATTATTTCAAAAGTTAAAAACCAGGCAGCTAAAGCGGCTCACGTCCCTTCGAGTGCTTGGAATAGTGGTACAACAGTCGCCTTGACAAACACTGTTTCTCTGACCTTCCATACAGCCAACAATGACCCAACTGGCGGTGACCTTTCACCCAACGGCCAAGAATTGTTATTGGTTTCTCACCATAAAATGTTCTACTGGAATGTTCCGAACGGCGATGTGCTTACAGCATTGCAAACAGATCCTATTGAAGTACCATACCATGATGAACCTCAAGGAGAGGCAGTTTGCTGGGATGCTAACGGTCAAGGCTACTTCACCCTTAGTGAGGGAAAAAATCAACCTTTATATTACTATGGAAGATCCTAATTATAAATTACATATGATGTTTTGGGCACAATGAACAAATGACATTTGTATATAAATATACTTCTCATCTTTATATTTGTGTCATTAAACATTTCGCATAAAATGTGTTATTTGCTAGATTAATCACATGCAGTCGTTTTCAGCTCTGATTGTTTATCTCACCTGGACCACAGGGTCAGTGTGAGCTTTTGGCGTCCGTAGTCGTCCGTTAACGTTTACAAAGATCATCTCTGAAACTACTGGCCAAATTTAACCAAACTTGGCCACAATCATTATTGGGGAATCTAGTTTATAAATGTGTTCGATGACCCCGCCTGCCAACCAACATGGCCGAAATGACTAAAAAAAGAACTTAAGGATAAAATGCAAGTTTTGTCTATTATTTTGAAAACCACTATAAATAAAGAAAATCTGACAGGAGCAAAATGTTGAGGACGATGAGATCTTCCTTCTGTTTATGAACATCAAAAATGTCAGACGACCTCTTGCAAGAGTCATTGTCCTTAAATGACGAATTTTATCATTTTTTCGACTTTTGCCTATTTTCTTAAAGTCACTAAATGATTCGAAGGTGACATACGTGTTCTAATTTTGTACTGCATACTGTAATAATAGTTTGACAGTCCCTTCAAACGTGCAAAATGTATTATATATTATTATTTGTTCTCAAATAATACTACGGTATTATGATTTCAAGCGGATCATTGAAAACGCATATTGCAATAAAACTTTTAAGTCCATGAAAAACAAACCAAACATGGATTAAGTTAAAGTCAAGGAATGAATCAAATAGTGATGGCTGCTTAAAGATCAGTGGCAAACATACCATACATTTTTAGGACAAATGGCTTAATGCTTTAGTTATATGAATATTACCTGATATGTAAGATTGAAGGATTGGTTGGTGTTTAACGCCACTTTTAGCACTTTTGGCTATTTCGTGGCTGTCAGATTTTGTTGATTGAGGAAGCCGGAGATAACCACCGACCTTCGGTAGGAAAACTGCCAATTCTAGTCAATTACGATTGAAGTCGAGCGCAACTGCCACGTGCGGGGTTCCAACTCACAACCTAGTTTTGATACAGAAGTTATGATAGAAGATAATGACGAGCATGCTTACATGCAGTGCAACGTCACCACCATATCCATCACAAGGACATTCGCTAGAAATAGAACATGCTGATAACGACTTATGTCATTAGTAATACTGACCCTTCCATTGTTGTACGCATTCAGCACTGCATGAGATCATGTATTATTTGGTATTATTCTTTACATGTTTGGTACATAATTAAGGTAAATATAAGATATTGCCTTTTTAAAAAAAGGATTGATTCTAACTTTTGGAAGGCGTGATTTCTATGTGTATTAGCTTATTTTTCATTAATGTTGCTTCAAAATACTTGTTTGTTTGTGAAATAAAGCTTATCAAATAATTTACTATTTATGACATATAATTTTAGAAATAAACAAATATATAAGAAGATGTGGTATGATTGCCAATGAGACAACTCTCCACCAGAGATCAAATGACATAGAAGTTTACAACTACAGGTCACAGTGCGGCCTTCAAAACAAAATACCACACCGCATAGTTAGCTATATAAAAGGCCCCGAAATGACAAATGTTGAACAATTCAATATAACTTGTTAATTTTTGTCGTGAGAAACAGATAAAAAAAATCTGCAAAGCTGTTCTCTTAGGTCTCTAATCAGAAGACTAAGTTCAAATGGTGATTATATTTGCCAAAGGTTTTGTAAAAAGCAAAATAAAAAAGTTGACTGAATTCAAAAGGAAAAAGGAACTTAAAAACAAAATCTACAAAATGTTCACTTAAACTGACTTTCATGAGTGACAGTGTATGTAATAATTGCATCGATCTTTAATAAATTAAATATCAGGAACCAAGTTAGTTTAAGTGATAGGACAAAAGGAGCACTGTTATAATTTAGGAAATAGTTTATCATTTTGTTATTTTTTAATGTATATCATGTTAATATGTGAACTTCATTTTTAAAGACTTTTAAAGTTCCTACATTTTTGGGCATTTCTTTTATCTTTTATGAAATAATATCTCCAATGTAAAAAAACTTATGTATTCCATAAGCTGGTAGAAGCTCTTTACAGCTGCTCCAGGTTTCAAACACGGTAATGTTTTAGCCACAGTTACTGAAAATCAAGTGAACAAAGCACCGGGCTAACAGCCAGTAGAACACATAAAGGGATATTGTATACTAGTACCCACAACGACCATGGAGATGGTCCAAATATTTACGCCATAGACAGCGCAACTGGGCGGTTAGTGTCTACTCTTACAATAAACGGTGGTAACAATTCGGACTGGGAAGACATTGCCTATGGTCCGTATACTGGTGGCTACTGCTTATATACATATGTGTATTTTTTGAAGAGGCATTAACGAAAGTATTTGGCAGAAATCATATATCTTATGTAAAATGTAATCGCACCTCGGGCAAATTAGTGACGTTGTGATTGGTTTAACGCCGTCACGCGGTGACTCCTATGTATAACCAGTTATAAATTTGAATTCATATCTACCTTTGACCAGCATGTACCTGAAAGGAAAACCAATTTCTTATTTTCTTGAAAAAGTAATAACTGATAACAAATTGAAAACTGCCTTGTCAATTTCTCGGTATTTAGTTGAAATGGTATATATTTTTAGTTTTCTATATTTGAAAACCCTGTTTTTATATATATCAAGCGAATTAGATTTAGGATATACAGTATTGAGACAGCAATCCAACGACGCATAAGAGCAATCAAAACAATCTAAAGGTCAATATAGTATTATACATACACACTCTTCAACCATAACAGACAAATAACTTGTTAATTGTTTCGAATACTCATGAAATATTTGCCACTGGAAGATAAGAAAAAAATCTCTACATTTGCCTGTTATATCATTTTGTGTTTTGAAATTCTTGTCTCGCCCGTTGTTTCTTATGGGAAAACAGAAATTCGATAAAAATAATAAACGGTAAAGGGATTAAAAACATATCCGTGGTCATTTGTGACACATAATTCATTTATACAGGATATATATCTTGATCTCTGACTTTACTTTTTCGATCTGTTGACTTCGGCTTTACTATTATCTATATTTGGCACGGGGGTTCCCTTCTAAGTAGAAACCTACCAATAAAACACATTCTGATTGGAAAACCACTCTTTGATATATCGAAATATCGCATCAATTTAGAGATATATACTACATGCTGCATAAAATGGTAAGTTCAAAATGGTAAAATTGAAGTTTGGGTTTACTTCTCAGCCGACCATGGCCAAGACTATCGATTGCCAGGTGTATGTCAGTGTATTAGGCATACATAGCTGTACATGTTGTGACCTTTATTTTGTGTTCAATGGGATATATTATATTAAAATGTTAAAAGGTCGAGGTAGCTTCGCCATTTCCTCGTCGAGAAGCCTCCGCATGTAGCATGTTTAACATGTTGAGGTCTTAGAATTATGTATTGGTGAATCAAAGTCTGTATCATATATGTTTGTTAGCGCAACCCCTCCCTTATTTGTGACAGTGGCGAACAACACAACGTAAAAACAAACTGCAAAAGTCTATAGTTGGAAATGGCTTGACTCGCCAGATTGACTCGAAGCACATAAAAATAACTAGCATAATGAAAAATCTTTAAAGACCCAAAGTACAGATTTTAGAGTTTTCGCAGTTACTGAAAGCTAGTTCAAGGGCAATAACAACTTATTAAGCTTATTATTTAATTAAAGAGGATCTCGTGAAACGTCAGACTAAATTTTTTGAATTTGAATAAAATCTGTATGTTCTGGTTTACTTTCATTGTCATTCTTATATTAAGAACGAATCCACGCTTATCTATATTATTCTACAGACACTATAGTAAGTTTAAATCCTGAGGTCAATAAGGAGTAACATGTTATCTCGGTCACTATAGTGCTGAAAGTTTTTTGGTAGTGAATGGAAAATATGGAGCAACTTACCAGATATCTCCTGCTCATTACTGGTTTGTGTCATATAACGCAAGGTAATCAATTACAACATTAATGGTACAAATTTTAATGCACCAGATGCGCATATCGACAATAAATATTTCTTCGGTGATGTTCGAGACCAAAATATTTGAAAATCCAAAACCTATTAAAAATTGAATAGCTTTTAAACCTAAAAGGACAAAAAGTATAGCCAAAGCCGGGCAATGAATCTGAGCTTTGCATCAGGGAAATATATTCCTAAATTTAAGATAATTTCAAAAGAACTTTAACAGCAAATTTCAATGACACAATATCCGTATTTTCATGCCAGTACCGAAATACTGACTACTGAGTTGGAAATCCCCTCGGGGACTAACAGTCCACCAGTAGAGGTATAGACAAAGTAATCACTGTATTTATAATTTATCAAGTATTGTATGTACTACCTTAATACGTGTATTGTATGTACTACCTTAATATGTGTATTGTATGTACTACCTTAATATGTGTATTGTATGTACTACCATAATATGTGTATTGTATGTACTACCTTAATATGTTTATTGTATGTAATACCTTAATATGTTTATTGTATGTAATACCTTAATATGTGTATTGTACTACCTTATTATGTTTATTGTATGTACTACCTTAATATGTGTATTGTATGTACTACCTTAATATGTGTATTGTATGTACTACCTTAATATGTGTATTGTATGTACTACCTTAATATGTTTATTGTATGTACTACCTTAATATGTGTAGTGTATGTAATACATTAATATGTGTAGTGTATGTACTACCTTTATATGTGTATTGTATGTACTACTTTAATATGTGTATTGTATGTAATACCTTAATATGTGTATTGTTTGTACTACCTTTATATGTGTATTGTATGTACTACCTTAATATGTGTATTGTATGTACTACCTTAATATGTGTATTGTAAGTACTACCTTATATGTGTATTGTATGTACTACCTTAATATGTGTATTGTATGTAATACCTTAATATGTGTATTGTATGTACTAC